CTAATAAATTTTTGTGGGAGGATGTTTATTTAATTCCAGCTACAGAGGGTTTAGGAACTTGTCATAGAAAAGAGAAGTTCCTTAGGGTTCTTGAAAACTAAGCAAATTTTAGAGGGTTTTCAGGACTTGATAGAATGTGTGACAGAAGGCATGGTGGGAAGGACAGAAGCCAGGGGCGTACAGGATGTGCATATGGATTGACCCACAATCAGGCCTGGCATCATGGTAGAATACAGAGGAGGAAGAGTGATTTATGGTGGAATGCGAGGATGATTATGATAAGTTGAAGCTAAGTTATTGAAGGTTTTAATATAAAATAATGATTTGAATTTTCTGTTTATGTGAAATTATCAGAAAATTTGTAGCAGGAGAATGGATATATTTTATGAATTTAGATTTCTAGAGAAGTTTGAAAATGTAGACATTAGATCTGAATTATTTTTTTAATGAGTCGGGATGGATTATTTAATCATTTTGAAGGGAAAGTGTACAATTTGCAGGTGGCAACATTCTCTTAATTATACATCAGGTAGTATGATTCATTGGCTATTGCAATGTCATTACCATTTTAATATCAGTAACACTTGTCACAGTGATTCTAGGGAGAGCAATAGGTATTGTCATGTATATGTTATTCTTACATAAATTCAGTAGAAAAATGGCTATGATTTTGACATTGGTGAAGTTTCCTGACATTATTATTAGAAAATAACATGCCTCTGCTCTTGTAGCAATTAGATAAACCATTTGTTTTTGGTGATTAGGATTCTATTCAACAATGCTGTCTTTGCTTCATTAACAACTATTATGTATCTGCATTCTATCTTAAGTGTAATATGCGGTTACCATAAAATTTATGGTAAATGTTTTATGAGTAACATTTATAAAAAAATATTTAACATGGACAAATGTTTGCATAGTATTAACTAGAAAAGAAAGTAGTAATAATAGCAGCTACCATTTTGAGTGGCTTTTAAAGAACCAAGTATTGTTCAGTGTGCCTTATTTATATTATGTGTTAGGTGTATAACAGATGAGAAGTAAATAGCTTGTAGACTGGTACACATGTGGCTGATAGATTTGGGGTTAACACTCAAGTCTAACTGATTTTACAGCTAAGATTTTAACTATTGTACTGTACAAAACTGGCAGTGAAGTAGATTTTTATTTTTAAAGCTTTTTTCTATATAATTAACACATAACATTGTATTAGTTAAAGCTATACAATGTACTGATTCACTAAATGTATGCGAGTATATTGCGAAATGATTACCACAATAAGGTTAGTAAACGTCCTTCCCCTCACATAGTTATTTAGTGTGTGTGTTTAGAACAGTTAAATCTACTCTTTTAGTGATTTTCAAATATAAAATACAGTATTGTTAACTATCATGAGTGCACTGTGCATTATTATATCCCCAGAACTTATTTATCTTATAATTGGAAGTTTATACTCTTTGACCACCTTTACCCATTTTGCCTACCCTGCCCTCCACCCCTAGCAAACACCAAGCCGTTCTCTGTTTCTATGAGTTTGGTTTTTGGTTTGTTTATTTTTAGAGTGAGATCATATGACATTTGTCTTTTTCTGCCTGACATATTTCACTTAGCATAATGCCTTTGAGGTCCATCCATATTGTTGCAATTGGCAAGATTTTATTCTTTTTTTATGGTTGAATAATATTGCATCGTGTGTGTGTGTGTGTGTGTGTGTGTGTGTACATCACATTGTCTTTATCTGTTTGTTCATTGATGGACACTGATGTTGTTTTCATAACTTGGCTATTGAAAATAATGCTACAAACATAGGAGTACATATATCTTTTCTCATTAGTGTTTTCATTTTCTTCTGGTAAATTCTCAGAAGTGGAATCGCTGGATCATATGTAGTTCTATTTTTTATTTTTGAGAAATCTTCACACTGTTTTCCATAGTGGCTACACCAATTTACATTCCCACCAAACAATGTACAAGGGTTCCCTTATCTCCACATTCTCCCCAACACTTGTTATTTCTTGTCTTTTTTTTTAAAGATTTTATTGGGGAGGGGAACAGTGTTGGGGAATTGGGGAAGGGAACATTGTGTTTTTCCAGGACTCATCAGCTCCACATCAAGTTGTTGTCCTTCAATCTTAGTTGTGGAGGGTGCAAGCTCAGCTCCAAGTCCAGTCACCGCTTTCAATCTAGTTTCTGGGGGGGGGCAGGGGGAGGCACAGCCCACCATCCCATGTAGGAGTTGAACTGGCAACCTGATTGTTAAGAGCATGTGCTCTAACCAACTGAGCCATCTGGCTGCCTGTTGGCAGCTCAGCTCGGGCGCAGCACACTGGCCCATGTGGGAATCTAACTGGCAACCACACCACGTTGCTCAGAGTTCGCGCTCTAACCAACTGAGCCACCCTGCCGGCCCTTTCTTGTCTTTTTGATAATAGTCATTCTAACAAGTGTGAGTTGATATTTCAGTGTGGTTTTAATTTGCATTTCCCTGATGACCAGTGATATTGAGCACCTTTTAATGTACCTGTTGGCTATTTGTATATCTTCTTCAGAAGCATGTCTATTGAGATCCTCTGCCCATTTTGCAGATGGATTGTTCGTTTTTTTGGGGGGGGGGTTTGCTACTGAATTGTATGAGTTTTTTTATATATTTTAGCTATTAATCCCGTATCAAATATATGATTTGCAAATATTTTCTCCTATTTGGTTACCACTTCATCTTGTTGATGATTTCTTTTGGTGTGTGCAGAAGCTTTTTAGTTTGATGTTGTCTTGTTTGTTTTTGCTTTTATTGTTGCCTTTGGTTTTGGTTTCAAATAAAAAAAATCCTTAATTTATAGTAGGTCTAGAGCATACATTGCTCTTCTTGTATTGCTGTTCTCATCATTTACACATTGCTTCTTGTAGTGCAGTATCATCAACATGAGAAGGCAGCACATGTACACTTGATTAAACTCCAGCTTGCCCATGACTCATCCAACTCTTTTGTCTCTCGTTATTTGGTCTGTTTTCCCAGTGTCTCAATGTCTTGTATTCTCTTCCCCAAATTCTTCAGTTATATACTTTCATTTCTACAAATTAATTCATGTGTTTTACTTCATCAAAATAATTCTGCTTTTGATCAGTGCTTTGCAACATAAGTAAAAAATCAAACATATTCATGAATATTTATGAACTTACTGAAATACATCAAAATACATTTATGATTTTACTGAAATAAATACATATTTATTTTATAATACCAGAGCAACCAGTGAAGAAAGCAATTAGATGGGTTTTGTTTTGCCAGTATTACTACCTAATACATTTAACTCATAATTTCATTCAAAAATTGATTATCTTTTAAAAAAGTCTTTGTTTCTAGTTTCCATTGTAATTATCATCTGTGCTTTAGTACATTTAGTACATTAGGGACTGAAAAAGAATAATTTTAAATGAGTACATATTTTAAACCAACCTCTCGCTTGGGTAGTGTGAATCTGTGAGTTAAGAAAAGATTAAAGTTTTAAACTTTGAGGTGAGAGATAAGGTGCTAGATTTCACTTAATTGAGAGGAGAACAAAGGCTCTGATTCAAGGTAGTGCAATTTTGTTAGTTAATTTATAATATTGAAATACGTAAACATATTTACATTTCCAAATTAGGAAGTACCATCCAAAACCACGTATACACACATTTTTAATTATCTGTGCTGCTCTTGTCTTGGCACATGCCTTTAACTAATGGTTTGCATCCAGGTTCAAGTTAAGAAAGGCTCTCTAGATACTAGTCCAGAAGTGGAAAACTGGCTAAATTTAGCCTGACGGGTTTAGTCAGCACAGTGTTGAACATGTTTGATTAAATTACAAATTAGGTGACTTTATGTAAAAATCACAATTTTGTTTCTCTTGACAATTATGCAAGAACTGACAATATGGTACAATAAATGACTTGAGCTGAGCATTTGGGGTCACTTTTAGACAAGACATATACACGCTAGTTTGAAGAAGTCTCCACATGGCCCCTTGCACTTATAGGCATATCTGTTTGCCTCCTGTAAGACTTGAGTTTGAAATATTTGGTTTAATCTTATTATAACATTAGAGTAAGAAAATGGAGCCGCATCAGTTAAATTATTTCTTTGACCCTAAATAAGTGTCATGAGATAATTAATGGCAGAGCCTAGATTGTAATCCAGGTCACTTCGCTGTCAATCAATTAATACTGAGTACAAGCTAGAAGACTTGGCATTTTGTCCTGGCGCCATCCCTTATGGCTCTCATTAACAATTGATTTTCATAGTTGTAAGTTGAAAATAATAATACTGATAACATGTGATTGTTGAAAAAGTTACATATAATTTGTCATTGTCAGGTTCATTTCTGCAGAGAAATTTTAAACATGTCTAACAATAACTTTGGTATTACGACTGGCACATCTTTTATTTAAAGTGGTAACATGTTTTAATAAACTTCTTATTTTGGTTTAATATGGCTATTGTGATACTTTTGTGGAGTTGCATTGGTATTGAGTATGTTGATATACTTTTTATAGTAAAGACATATTTTTGCATATAAACATTTTTCATAGCCTCAATGATAGTCATTTTTATATATAAGTAATTCATGTGCCAGGCACTCTGTGTGTGTGTGTGTGTGTGTGTGTGTGTTTGTGTGTGTGTATACGTGTACACACTTCTGAAAGTATTAACAAGAAAAATTTATCGAGTATTGCAGTAAAATTTGATTTACATTTAATGTCATCTGGCCTTATATATTTTCTAATAAAACCGTTTTGTAAATGATCAAAAACAGTCAAAATGAGAAAATGAAGATCTAAGTGTTTATTAGCATAATGAAATTTAACTCATAGAACTGAAATGACAATAACAAAGTAATATAATAAAATAATGTCTGAAACATCTTAGAAGGGTCACAAGTTTCTATTATGTTAAATTTTTCTCTGCTTTAAAACTTGCTGTGTTACATTTAAAGTGAGTCTTTAATTTAGTTTTGTTTTTTCAGAGCACCTTCAAGTTTAAATCTGAGAGTGATATTCATTTGGCAGAACATCATAAACAGGTTCTGTATGATGGAAAGCTTGCAAGTAGTATTGCATTTACATATAACGCCAAGGCCACTGATGCTCAGCTTTGCCTGGAATCCTCACCAAAAGAAAATGCATCTATTTTCGTGCATTCTCCACATGCTCTAATGCTCCAGGTGGGTGAATACTAACTTAGTTTTCATCAGCATTAACAGTATCTTTACCTATTAAACATTGCTCATTTAGAAATCCACAATTACTGGGGTGTATTTTTGTTGTTGTTTTCTAGTTCTTTGGTGTTTTTGGCCTTCTACTTTTTTGAGGGGGCCATAAACATAGACTTTACCTTGGACTTGTTTCCTTAACAGGATATATGTCGTTTCTGTTATCTTGTATATTCTTTGAAATAAAACAGTTGATTAGCTGAACGGATAGTTGTTGATATAAAAACATACTTTCATTTAAGAACATATTACTATAACTCCCTAACATAAAATTACCTGGGTATCTCCATTAGTAGTATTTCTTATTCTAAAATAGCTTTTGATTTGTAGCTTCATATTATCAGTATAAAATTCTCTCAACTTTAGATTTCAAATTGTTATTTTATATATGTATCAATAATTATATAATTGAGGGTTTTTAAAATGTCTGATGTTAATTCTTTTACAAAGTTATTTGGGACAAGGAAACAGTGATAACATTATGCTTAGAAATGTAATAAAAATTTTTGTTTTTGAACACAGGATGTGAAAGCTATAGTGACACATTCAATTCATAGTGCAATTCATTCAATTGGAGGGATTCAAGTGCTTTTCCCACTTTTTGCCCAACTGGACAATCGGCAGCTCAATGACAGTCAAGTGGAAACAACTGTCTGGTAAGTTTTCTTTGTGTATTTTCATATATTTTTTACATGCTTAGTTTATGCCTTATATACTTGGTACTGTGTAAATATATTATTTGGTTTTTATTCTTAAAATGCTAATAAAAATTTCTTTGGGGCCAAGGCAAATTGTATTAACGCAATATAAACAAACCTGACACTGAGATTCCTATAACCATAAAGGAATGACTTTTTCATAATAAATAAAAGATCCCTCACCAGATGTAGCATAGTGATTATAATATGCATTTGAGGAAAAATCTTGGTCCTGACCTTATCCTTTGAAAATACTCATGGTTTAAATTGTCCATGAAATCCTGTCGAGTTAAACAACATTACTAGATAATGTGTATTCTGAAGAATACTATTTAATATAAGTTATATAATTTATATCTTAAATACTGGTATTTTTTGTAATGCTATTACAATAGACTAGCATAATATTAGTTGACATTAGCTTTTCTTTATATATAGTTCATGTTTGAGAACCCAGATCTAACTAGTGGCATATTTGTGTTTATATAAAAATTCAGTATATTCTAATTAGATTGATTTTATGTGCAATTTTTGTAGGTTCCCTCCTTTTTATAAAAAAATCTCATGCATCAAACTATGATTTAATTTTATATCTTAGAATTATATATCTAAGAAGTTAAATGAATTTAACAGCTATTTTGACTGTGTATATTGCTATGTTTGGAGAATTTAAAGGAAAAGTGATATAGAGAAACATTAATTTCTACATCAAAAATAATATAGGAGTGCTTCATTAGTATGAACACATATCTATGAGCTCCTTCGTCGTCATCCAACTTTGAATTTAAGAAAAACTAGTGAATAAAGTTAATATGGGAAAAAAATTAAAGTCCATTGCAATGTAACATGGTTTTATCATATTTATTTTCTAAATTAGTTATTAACAAAATTCTATTTTAGTATTGCTATTAATATTGTCCCTGTATTGGGACTGTCTCTATATAAAGTATAAATGTAAATATAAATGTGAGCTATACCTTTACAAATTTCAGTTCCCATCCATGGGTCATGCTTTCTTTCATGTAAATATAGTATAAAGTTTGAAGTTTTAAAGTGAAAAGCTTTGAAGTGAAACGGAATCCTGGGGTCATGCCCTGCTGTGATACTACTTTGCTGTGAGATATTAAATAATTTCATTGGTAGATCAACCTATTGGAAAAATGAAACTTTAAATTCCATTCCTGGATTTAAATTAAAACTGTTTTGTCTTTATCATCTACGTCACCCAGTACACATTATGATCAGTAATTAAAAACCTTGTAAGTGCTATGAAAAGAAGTTGGATATGAAGTAGCCAGTAGAAAACTCCATGTGTAATTTAAAGGTTCCTTATGAATTAACATTAAACCCATAATTGTTTTAACCTGACATGGAATTTTTTGCTTTGTGAAGAAAAATTAGAAAGATTTTGCAGTTTGAAGTGTTATTACTAAAGTTATGCACACTAATTTATATCTTCTTGAATAGTTATTATAAAATCTTAGTGCTAAAACTATATTTAACAGGTTATCTGGTCCATTCATCCAAGGCACATGGTTATTTTTCATTGCCTGTTTTCAAAATTCATTTTAGTGTTTATATCATATTTTGGTATTTAAATTGTATTTATTTTATCATGATAAATGACAGTGTAAGGGGTCAGCATTCTGATTTTCATTTTAATTTGTTTTTAGTTCTTTTACATCATTCATCTTAATTTTCCTGTATTAAATAACTTCAACTTTTTTAATGATATGTAAGTGGTTGGTTTATAGTCAACAGAAAACATACAATAAGAAAGATATCACTCTCCTCTTTAATAATATTACACTCCCAATTCCAAGCTACCTTGTGATTCAGTTATGGGCTATTTTGAATTCTTATGCACTACTTTTTCATTAATTGTGTCAAAGCCCTTGAGGCTCACTTGTTTGTGGACAACTGTATCAGTAATACAATCTTCTGTTTAAAGATTTGTAGGGAATATTAGAGACAAGTGTGTGCATTGGTGATGGTCTTTTGGGTTTCGAAATGTTAAAGGCAAGCTGTTAAATGGGATTTCTCCATCTGTTTGAAGAACACAGATTCTTAGCCACAGGGCAAGGACTGACAGCATTTCTTATATTCTGGGTGTGTCATAAACTCATATAGATGAAGGAGACCTTGAAATAGGACATGTCATTGTATTTTTTAATCAGTAGAAAATCGTTCTAAAGGAATAAGAATCTATTTGAAGTTTTTAAATCTTCCAAATTTGATTTACTCTTTTTTGAAGCTCTGTTTGCATAATAAATACATCCAAAAATTGCAATTTACCTAATTCTTAATTACTTTTTGGAGAAACTGAGCTAAACTCTAGAGTAAGTCACTTCTCTGCCTTCTGTGTTTCAGCTGAAGCATGTTTCCATGCACTTTGCTCCCCTCAGTAGTCTCTTTTTATGGAAATTTTTACTGTTTCTAAAATACTTAACTTCTGTTGGTAGTATCATACCATTGTTATAAACCTTGATGAGTTTTACTCTATATAGGGGCTTAGTATTAAAATAATTTGTTAAAGGAATAATCTTATTTTCTGGAGTCTTTAAAAATAGACTATTTGTGCAAGAGAATTTTTGTGCCTTTGTTTAATCATGAAGGCTACATATTGCAGTTGTGTATATGTGGGCAGACGGGTTCAAATCTCAAGTTTACTGTTTATTATTAGTGCAACTGAGTGTGTTAACTTTTTTGTGCTTCAGTTACCACCATTATAAATTAGGAATAATAATAGTTTACTGGATTATTTAGATGAAATGCAATAAAATATTTAGATCGACATGGTAAGCACTCAGTACATGTTGTTTTTGATATGATGAAAATGTGCTAGGTGATCTACAAGATTTTCGCTGATACTATAGTTTTATATTAAACTATTTACATGTTATCAATCTTAGGAATTGGTTGTTATAATATAATTACTTTATATTTGAATTTCTTTTTACCAGTGATGTTACTTATAATTGAGGATTACTTATGTAAATAGGACTTATATTTTGATTTTCAGGTGTAGAAATATTAGCCTTTTTTTTTGGTGAGAGAGGTTTAAAATTGAGGAATGTGTTAAACTCAAGTTTTGAACCAAGTCAAAGAAAGAAAACCAAATCAAACAAGCTAGGACAGGTTTAAGATGATTTTTCTTTAGGTGGTTTTTGGATTTTGTATAGCTGCCCCCTTACTATATACATCTCAAGAAATAACACGTACTATTCCCTTTTTTTTAAACATGTAGTTAGCCTATCATGGCACAAAAAAAAATAACCAACAAAGGAACAGAGAAATATTATTGAACTGAGTTAAACAGCTTGTGGCAACACATACAGTACTTTTGATGTGATCTGTTTTTGAGTAAGTAAACTAGGTCAATATGTAGTTATCGTTGTGATTTTATCCTGTTCATGATGATTCTCAAGCAGGGTGATCACCTTAAATAATTCTGACAAGTGATCAAAGCTATTTGGATGTTTTGTCATTCCTCAGGGACTAGTACTATTTATGATGGACTGGTCAATTCCTCTCAGTCCATTGAATATTGAGAGCAGTATCTACACAAATTGCCTTTGACTAGACATTTAATAAATACTTATTTAATGACTAAAAGAGTGAGCAAATATTAACAAATTATTTCAAGAAATATAACTTCCATCTTGAAGTAATCATGTCTTTTGTATTTATAGGAATGACTCAGTAAATTAGAAATTTCATTTTCGTTTGATTTGGACGATCATATACCTTGACTGCAAAAGACATGTCCTACCGCCCTCCTTTTTAAGAATGTATGTTATTAAATACTATGGGTGATAACAAAACAAAATATATCTTATTGTGTGGCTTTGGAAGAAATTTGCTTTGAAAAATTATGTTTTCTGGCACAATATAGAAATAGGCTTTTGTATATCAAACAATGAAAAATACATTAAGAGAGTAGTTGTCATTAGAGACAGTGTGATGTGATGAGCAGGCCTTCTTTGGGTGTCAGACAGATTAAACTCAAACTGGTGTCCTATCACATACTATCTGATCGTGGGTGACAGGGATGTCCAAGGATGTGTAGTAGTAGCATGTGGTGTTTACTGAGTACTTACTATGTGCCAATCACTGTTTATAATTGTTTTATCTCATCTAATCATGTTCTGCTGATAAGGGACATAAAATTAAGTAACTTGCTCAAGGTCACAGAGACTTAAGTAACAGATTAGAACCTAATCCTGAAGGCCTAACTCCAGAGCCCTCACTGGAAACCACTGTGGACAACTCTGAGAATCAGTTTTGCCAGCTGTGGAATAATTTTAATCATGCCAATTTTATTTGATTGTATATGCATTAAAATAAGATTGTATATGTAAAGTATCATAGTGTCTGGTACATAGTAAGGATTTAATAAGTTTTTTTCCTTTCCTCAGTAAATATTGATAGTCTATTGATGTGATGCAATTTTGTATTACTAAAATTTATTTTAATGCTATTTTGACGCTGATAAATATGAATTTCAAGCGATCATGTCAATTAATTCTTGTAAGGATATAAATGTTTTTCTCAGAAAAGTTTTTTTTTAATTATGATACAGTTTGTTTGATAGACTGCCTGATGAAATATAAGATATAAAAAATTAGAGTCCCATAAAGCATTTATATCAATGATTTTATCATTAAGAATCCTCTTGTACTACGAATATTTATGATCATTAATTAGTTTAGTGAACTTAAACTAAGATTTTTTTCTTAAAAACAATCTTGCTAACCAGTTATTACAGTAATTATCTTGAAATTTTTAGCCCCCTTAATAATTAAGCGGCTTCCTTAATAATTAAAAGTTTCATTGTAAAATTCTAATTAGCAATACTGCCAGACGTAAACCAACAAAATTACCTGGAAATTTCAGCCTTTCAGTGTCTAACTACCTAGACCAGATTTCTTCCTGTACTTCAAAGTGACATAAAATCC